AGCAAAAATAAAGCATTAGCCAAACTTCAGTTTAATTCTCTTTCCTTACAGAAGCTGAGTATTTTTGCATCACTACACTAGGATTTGTAACCAAATAGTACACATGTATTTATTTGTAAGGTTTCATTCAAACTAGGAAGACACTACCCCTCAGATACATCCATAGAACAAAGGAATAATAAGAAAAAATAATTTAAAAGAAAAAAGCTACTTTCCCTAAGAAAGAGGAACCACTGAAGGAGAAGAGCCAGGCTGGTACGAATAAGTGAATCAAATGTGTCTGCCCAGTCATGTAGAGAACAGACTTGCTGCTAAATGTTCCATCTCAATTCTTGGCTGGTGTACAATGAGACCCCTGTAAGGGCAAGGAAAATGTAAGTAGCACATTGGAACACTTTGCTTCAAGAAGTCTAATGTGGATTAAGTTATTACAGACAAAATCTCTCCAAGCAAACTTTGGAGGTTTTCACACAACATCTTTACAAAAGCAGCATTCATCAAAATTTAAATATCATCCTATGCAAACTCAGTCTTTTTGAATCAATATGATTTCTTCACCCTTTGCTCTTGATATCCTACATTTATAAATCCAATATTGTGGTCATGCTAATATGAAATAAGAATGCTGGAAAATAACGTTCACAGTGACATTTTTATTCCGGAGCTCACTTAACTGAATTGTGGAAACTCTCTACAGTAACATGCTTCCAACTCTCCCACCTCAGTCATGTTTTTCTCTCTTCTTAAATGTCAGTTCCTGTCCAGCCTGCAGCAACGTATTCTAAACAGATCCTACATTTTTCACTTAAGAGCTCCAGTGACTCGCTCCTGCTATCTGCCAAGATGGGGAGCTCTCAAACCCAACCCAGTATCTCCCAGTTCCCCCCTGCTCAGACACCAGCACAGAACTGTAAGAGAAAAAGGCTCTTGCATGACTGGCTCCTCCTCTGATCACGGTTCAGGCAAAGGGCCTGCGAAGGGAAATGGTCTTGCTAGCATAAATAGTTTTATTTTGGGACCTGTAAGCACTAAAGCCTTAGTGCTTTTTCATGGTGGATATTTTCTCCATTGGAAGGAAGGGAGCTCATGAAAGTGGCTGGTCTAGCATGGAGATATGTAGCCTTTTAGGACAGTATTTGGCTGTCAGTGATACATAAGCAAGAAAGAAAAAGCTAAGTAAATTAATTAAGAGCTGAGTATTTGTAAAAAAGTTTAAATATTACAAATATTCCTACACCATTTACTTAGTTCTACTGTGCCATAAAGGAATGAGTATAGACCACTGCTGCTAAGAATGGGACAAAACTCACGCCCAGCTCTGACATGTACCAGGAACCCAGCAGGTCTGCACAAGCAGACCTGACTTGCAGTGAGGAAACTAGAAGTGTGAATCATTCATTACTTCTCTAAGCTAGAGATAATGGTAGAGTAAATACCCGTAAACCTGCAGCTGCAAAGCACCAGTCACAATCCAATAACTGGAAATTAAGCTGCAAGACGTGACATAGCATCAGGGTCACTCTATGAAACTGGTGCTCCTGAACTTAGCTCCCTCTGCCAGGAGAGCCTCAAACAATTAATGCAAGTTAAAGCAGACTGTTGTTAATATTTATAACTGTCCCTTAGAGGGACTTGTAACTAGCCACTTGTACAAACAGCTTAGGTTCAAAGTTCTCCCTGCTTAAGGTTTTATGATTTGCTTCACACTTTTTAAAAATTTACTTCATGCTTTTTTGATTCCCTGTGAAAGTGTATGTGAAGTAGAAAAGAGTTGTGAAAGGAAAACTGACTACACACAGCTTTGTCACGTGCCAGACTTGCCAGATCTCTTGATTTGTACCTCAATATCCTCCTTCCTGCAAATTTTAAACCATAAGAAGCAGGTCCACAACTTGACTGCAGGACGTGCAAGCAACCTCCCTTTCTCTCAATTTCCTACCTTTATGAGAAAATTGGTATCTATCAACCTTTGAAAAGTGGACTGCAACCTGTGGAAGAGCAAAGCACTACCAGTGTTTATCTGTATTATAAGACCTAAAGACCTCAAACATAGACATAGAGATATAAATTCTCTATAAGCACATTACAACTAGCACACCCTGCTCCCAAAGGCCTGAAACACAAAACAAAACACAGGAGAAAAGAAGTTTTATCATCTTGGTTCCACAGATGGGGAATCGAGTAACCTCAGAGGAGAGTTTTAAAAAACTGATGTATTCCTCAGCACAGGATCTGATCCTCCCCCTCCACCATGTTTCTCAGGACAAACTGAACTCGGAGAATTCTGACACTGGAAATGAGGGAAAACTATTTTGTTTCCCAGCCCTGCTGCGATCTTCTTGTATGCTGTTACTGCTAACAATAAAGAAATAGATAAAAGTCATATAAGACAGATAACATCAAACAGCAAAGTCACAAGAATTCAAGAGCAATTCAAGGAAACATCACAGAAAAGGAGCACAATTAATTGTGGCTTCAGGGACAAAACTAGTGTTCTGTGAATGCTGAAAAAACACATGCAAACTTCAGTGAGGATTTTGAATGCACAAGGAGAGAACATTTCCACTTTCATGTGGTGATGAGCTAAGCATATGAATATACAGAAAAATTAACTCCTTCAAAGACAGACGATTTGCCTTCAACAGGCCATCCAAGAATGTAGATAATATCTGCCTGGCTTCAAGAGACCAGGATTTTAAAAAGCATGCTTAATCTGATATAAGGTGTATCATCCAACAGCAATTACTGAAAAAAATGAAGGTTTAAGCTTAATTTGTCAAAAACACAACTTCACAATTTTTCTACCTCAACTGTAACTCAGTATTTTTTTTTTGGAACAGGAGTTGAGAAGCAACTTTCAAACCTGTATACTTTGAAATAATGCTAGATGACCACCTATATATTGGGATACCATCTCCAACTTGGCTCACATTAAAATGCCATCCTAGGCAAGGCTGCAGGCTCAACCTGAGAGCATCAGCAAACAATTCTTACATAGATCAGCGATTTCTGCAGCTGTTAAGTCAATGTGCTCCATGTGGCCACGTTTTTCCCAGATAAAACTTGTTCATTTATAGCTAAGCTGAACCATTAAATAACTAACATAGACTTACTGACAAAATAAAGGAGTTATTAATTGCTGTCCTTATAACTGAGTCAACAGCCTAAAGTCCATCTGGAGTATGTTAAATTTTTTTCACAGCACAGGCTACTGCAGAGCGGCAAAAGAGTAGGAAAGAGCTACTCCTTCTGTAAGAACCTATTTCCTCCTCATATATCCTTAGGAAGAGATGCCTCATTTCAAACCCTCTCTGGTACATGCCATCTGTGGTACAGTGCCACTTCGGGAGAAGGTGTAGAAGGAACTGAGTTACAAACCACCTTCTAGGTAGACCCAAGAGAACTGAGGATGTTCTGAACATGTTCTGAATTCACTGCTTGTTTTATTGGGGGGGGAATTCAGCCTTCACGTTATTGACTCTTAGAATAGTAAAACTGTCACGTCTGCTTAAGTAGTGAGGCTTTTTTCTCCTATTTGTATTTCATTTCCCTCCTCTCTTTTTTTATCTGTAAATTTGTGTCTTTTCCATCTTCACTACATTACTAGTACGTGCTCTTTTAATGGAAAATCAAGGAACAGAGCCAGGCGTCACACCATTTCAGAGCATTATCGTGCGTCTGTGGGAACAGTGTTTGCAAGTGGTGTGGCTAACTGAGAAAACAGCATGCAGCCACTGGGACTTACTTGCTCTTGACTTGTCCTCGCCCATTAAATTAGGAAGATGGTATCTAGAAATCCTCTGGCAGTTTATGTGCCTTTGTTTATTCTAGTCTTCCTTCATGAAGGGGTCCTTTTGTCAATGAAATTTCTTGTGTTACAGTGCTAGTGAAGGAAGTGTGTAGGAGAATAAAGAGAAAAGCTTTTTTCAGTCAGTGAGGCATATTTGCCTCTCTGTATGTTTCTTTCAATCTAATCACATATATAAATTACTTCTTTTAAAAAGCTGAAAAGCAGTTTTATTTGAGAATAGGGACAGGAAGAGGGACTAATACAATAAACAGAGGGTAGAAAAGTAATTCTGTGCTTATTGATGCATTCTTCAGGGAAAGGGCAGTCTTAGTAACATAAAAAAGTAGGAGTCAAGGAATACAGATTCTGCCTCTTGTTCTAATACAGACCTCCTGCATGACTGGAAAAGTCACCCCACCTTATCTCTGAAATAGCATTACTACTATTTATCAGTGGTGTCTGCCAAAAAGAATGTGGAATTTTATTTTTTTTTTTTGCAAATCACATTGTGACATCTGGATGGCAATGCTAGACAAGTGCATTGTCATTACTCTAATATTATTTGTCTTTTAGGGAACTTACTAGCGCTTAAGGTTAGGAAGGAAGTGGAAATCTTGCCTTTGGTACCTTTTAGAGGCATGATATTACTCCTGCCTCATAACACTTTCCCAGCATAGAAAAAGTAGAACCATAAAGTCCCATTTATTTCACTTTCCCTTTTTTTAAGCTTCTGTACATTTTTTTTGTTATTTTGGTAAGCTATTTAGCTATTCATCACCTTTACAGTTTACAATGGTGGCCTGCCTTAAACATTTTAAAATTTCAGAATAAGTGTACCATATTCTGAATAAAAGATTTTCATTATTATTATAATTAATATACCAGTTTTCTGTGTTGGCAATGGGAATACAAAAGAGGACATCTGTGTGAGACAAGAGGATGGGCAAAAAACACAACATGAAATATAGCTAAGTGCAAGTAAGAAATTTAAATCAGAGTGAACAGATTTAAACCTAACACTGAGACTCCATTTCAGGCACCCATTCTTTGCACATATCATCATGCCCAAATATGCCTTCAAGAACATATACAGCACATCATAATAGGAATGGAAAGACTTTATAGATTCATGAATGTTGCCATTGAATGGCACCTTTCCACTACAGAAATTCAAAATAACTCATTAGAAATAATTCTCATATTCTTCCAGGTTTTGTTCTGGTTATCGGATTGGTGACTTTCTACCGCATCGGCCCATACACCAACCTCTCTTGGTCTTGCTATCTGAACATTGGAGCCTGTCCGGGCACCCGCCATTCTCATATGGAACATCCTTCATAGACGTGAGGACTGCATGGCACCCCGGGTCATTGTCATTAGCCGTACCCTGACTGCTCGGTTTCGCCGTGGCCTGGAAAATGATTATGTTGAGTCACCGTGTTGAAAGAGTGGACTTGAAAGGGGAGAGATCTCCAAGGAGATCTACATTGGAGTTGTTTTCTATAATATATGCTATAATTTAAAACTAAGGGTTGAAAGACATCACAACGCTCACTCTTGTGGGCAGATGCCCTCAATTATTATTTGGATGGGCTCCATCTATATACATATGTATAAAACACATAATTTTATATATATTATATTATATTATATTATATTGCCCTTTCCCTCTGCTGTACAGCACAGAATGTTGGATTGTCAGAATCCTGACAAAGCATCACAACTACATGTCGGCAGGGTCAGCTGTAGCAAGCACAGAGTGAATGCAATGAGAATATAGAAAAGAGGCAGCCAAACACATCTTCTCTGTCTGCATAAAGTTATCCTGCTCCCTAATAATAATGTAAAAAGCTATAGGACACCAGTGATAATAGCTTTGGAGTTAACAGGCGATCTGAGATAGCAGAAAACTCACTATAGAATAAGTGATGATTTTAAATGCTGTTTAAGTTTCATGAATTTTTAGTCCTTCCATCCACCCCTCTTCAAGGAGCTTCTCATAAACTCCAAAAACTGCTGCCCAGCCACAGCACAGCCCAGACAGTAAAGAGCAAAAGCAACTCTAGACATTCTAATTACAAAATAAGGGAATGCAGAAGAATTAAATTGTATTTTTTCAGAGACTATCCTGAGATGACAGTTTGGATTTATCCTATCTGTAAACAGACACACCATTAAAAATGAAAAGAGTACGCAGCTAGAACAGGCCACACACGTTGCAGTAAGATCTCCTTCACTGTTACAACGAGAGCAAATATCTACAGAAAAAAGTTACCTGGACTCCCTAATAATCACAGGTACCATTAACTTACATTATTGGAAATGATTATTAAGAACAGGTATTTCAGCTGAATTAATGTATTTTCTTCCCAGCTTGCTTTAACATTTGCTGGGATGTTTTCAGATTAGAGCGCTCTGTCAGGACACCCAGCTCTGCCCAGTAATGTTCCGAGGCACATAACACAGTGAATATTGGAGAATATAACTGCCACTCAAACACCCAAACTGGAGAATAAGACATATACACAGGACTTAAGCATGAAATTTAAAAAAGACCTGCCTGGTAACTTAACATGGTAATGAAATGAAAATTAGTACCTTTGGAATTAGGCATAATGTTTATAAACCTGACCCTGAGAGGCACACGGGCTCACAAAAATCATCTGCATGTAATTCCCAGGAAGAAAAATGACAGGTCAAAAACTGTTACGGAGCAATACTTCAGATACGGGAACTAGAGGCGATGATAGATGATTAAAAACTCTTAAGGATGCTACTTTGAGCACAGTTACTGATAGGTTTGAAGGACCATGAGCTGTGAATGTTACAAATTCTTTAGGACTGTTGTGTTAATCCCAGCTGGTACACTGCTTTTCTTCTTTATCATCATTTCCACCATACTTTTCCACACTTTGTTAAAATGTGATCATCAAGCTGGCTCTTGAGTTCTGTTCTGCACTCAGTTCTGATGTAATAAGAAACTCAACCCCAACTGCTGCTCTGCACCATGTTCAAAGTGAGCAACGCTCTGCAGAGACTGATGCTCTAGAACAACTGCATTGTTCTAGACTGTCAGAGTAGAACACCATAAAGCTGACAAAGAGTTTCTTCTAGCAGTAGGTTTGTAAAAACCAACTAAGATTTGTATTCATTTGCCTGCATTACTTTCTGGAAAATCTTTTCTAGAAATAATATGCTATGATTAATTGCAAGGTTTTTAAAAAATAAAATATTGGAATATTTAAAAGACATTATATTATTTCTCCTAATATTGCAATATCCGTATTATAATAATGTACATTTAAATTTAAAAATCAGCTATGTGGTTGGTAAATTTGCAATACTCTGTATTACTGTGATTATTTTAGATGTATAAATAAAGTTGTGAATGTTCATTTTCTTCTAGTGATGAGATTTTTGTCATTCAGCCAGAGAACAAGGTTGCTTGTTCTCAAACATTTTTTCCCATTTAGTAAAAAAGAATCCTAGAACTGTACCTATAAAGAAATACATACAAACACTTACAATACCTTTTTATCAGCTTGATGGATTTGAAGGCCTCATCCATGTCTCCAGCAGTCAGATAGAAGCTGAAATTCAGCATCGCATCCCGGGTAGTCTTATCACAGTCTCCTAATCCAATGAAATCTCTCATGGGTCTTCTCGCAACCATCTGAGGGACCTTTATTGAGCCAGACTCTGCTTGTCCTGTCTCAGCTTCTCCTGGCTAAAGTGAGAATGTTATCCTTTAAAGCAGGTCAACATGTACTCCTTTGTACATGTAACTAATTACATTATTTCCACTACAGTCCAAGTTTTCTGTTTCTTCAGGACCATGATCAATAGTGACAATAGTTGCAATGTTTTAGAACTTTCTAGAAAATGACCCAAAATATGGAATGTCACAGAAGTAATAGATTACCATTTCATAACAAACAATCTCAGTACATCAGTGATAGTTTGGAGACTGGTAAAATACAACAGGAGAGATGCAGACTCCTATAATAATTATTATTATTATTTTATAAAAATTATTATTATTATGACTATAATAGCAACTATTATTTTAAGTCAGTAGATTTCAGGAGGTTTCAGAGAAACACTTCTCTGAAAGTTAGTCTCTTCTCAAAAATGAGTCTGCTGTTCTGGAATTTGACTATATAGACCCGATTTTATTCTTGCCTTCATGTGAAGCTTATGAATATTAAAGCTCAAATTCAAACCCTTCCCCATACAATTGGCAGCTCTGGAGCCTCTGGAGATTCAGTGATACTTTCACCAATACTGTGAAAGGCACCTCAAAGCAATTTAACCATTATTCAGAAAAATAATAAAGTCAGTTATCAATGCCATATGATCTGTCTAGAGTGTAACAAGGAACCTTTCACAAGCCAAACAGTGGAAGAACATCTGAGTCACGAAGGACACCAGAGTTCACATATATTCTACTCCAATTGTATAGTTAGATAACTAAACATTAAGGTTTACAGAAGCCAATGAAAATAATTTTCTATTATTATACAATGAAAGTATTAGATACAGTAAAAGACAGAAAACAAAAGTGCAAATGTGTTTGACTACAATTTGGGGAACTTCTGGAACCAGGGCAGAAAAGACTTTATACTAAATAAAGAGAAACCCTGAAGTAAAACTTGGTCAAAACAGACTTGTTGCATCAACTCGATTTGCTGTATCTAAAGCAGATTCTGTTCATATAACTAAATCATGTTTCCAAAATGAATTATTAGATAACAAGTAATTTAGCCACTAGGATACAGTAACCTATTGAGGGAAGCAAATGGAAACAGAAGAGAGAAAAGCAGAGAATGGAAGAAGAGGAGCAAAATAAGGTAGATACTTACAGGTTTATAGACGCATCCCCTCCGAAAAAACAACTAATGGAGCAATAATCCATACAGAGTGAAATAAAAAAGAAAAAAAGGAGAGGCATAATACCAAAGTAAAATAGCATGAGACAAGATGGAGAGAAGTGTTAACAGAAAGATTAGAAAATGCAGCAGAACACCTTTGACCTTTCCAATTAAGGGAAAAGGAAAGTAAAATAGAGTGCAACTCTAAAAGCTAGATCTGTACAGGGAGCGTGACAACAGGCAGTTCTTTGCAAGGGGGCTAAATTGCAAAGTAGTGCTGTGAATCTAAATATACTAAGTCAAAAAACATCTAGATACATTCTCCCTGTTTAACACTGCTCCTAAACTATATGAAATTAGATTGACACAATCACATTGGTCTGTCTTACTCAGAAGATTTAGAGGATTAGAAGTCTCGTTAATACAAAGTTCCTGCACATTTTATAAAAATGCCTTGGTAGAACAAACAGGCTCTGTTAAAGGTTCCCCTATAAGAAGGGAGCAGTGCAAATCTTCATCTTCACAGGCACTAAGAAACTCAGGGCAGAGCTTAAGAAGAAAACCAGTATGTACAAAAAGGGCTTAATTTCTTCCAGTATGCATAGAATTATGCATGGTATTATTTACCTAAGATGCAAACAATGTTTGATTCATATTCAAGTTTAAGAAGTTAAATCATGCATTCCTGGTATTTGTAGCACACAGGCACTTGGTGATAGTGCGAGATGAGATTTCTTGCTCTCTTTGGTATCCTGTGGGGATTAAGCTCCATTCCAATGAGGAAATGGGTTGCTTTTGCTGAAGCTAGTAGGAAATGTCCCCTTTTATGGCCTATGTAAAGTGACACGCACACACCCCTTCCTTGCAATAGGCACAGTGACTACATAAAGTAGAAACAGAATTTTTTTCACATCCCTTTTTTAGTTGCATTTCCTGGTAATTACTGTGTCTCCTATGCTTGTACGTCACATCCAGTTTGCAATATCCATAAAAAGCTGATTCGGTACAATTTCCACAACACTACCACGTTCACCCACATTAGAATTATCTTTATATCATTTCTACATGTGATGCACTGGAGTTGCTCTACTTACCCCAGACTCAATTTGGTTAAATTTGATCCCTTTGCAGTGAAAAGTCTGAACTTATGGGAAGGGAAGGGACTGTGAAAGATTCCCTCACCTTTTTTGCAAAATAATAATGTGGCACCTCTACGCCCAGAAGAACCTGGTAGGATGAAGGCAATGGAAAGCTATCCTGAAGCAAAAGGCCATGCTCTTCAGTACTGAAGAATGATATAATCCAAACACCCACCTGGAAAAGGAAGCAAAGCATTGTTTTGGTTTTATGCTGCAACATCCTTCTTTCATTTTGTTTTTATTTTCCATATTCATTTGGCAGAACCTTCTCTTGAAAATAATATGACGTATACATTCACACACATACACCTGCTGGAGAGGGCAGAGCTGCACGCTTCCTCCCTATAGTAAGGAGCCAACGACTCATTACAGACTGTGTTCCTACTGCAAAGGGACCTCCACCTCTGCCTTTCAGCAACCAACTTCAACCAACC